TGCTTCAGGCCGTATAAGGATTTCCTCAGAAGGCAGACAAAATCCGAGTGAGCTGGATCTTCGAACCGGAACGGCTGCTGACAATACACAGTCTCAGACAGATGGCCATGAAGGAAGGCGTTCTTCACATCTAGCTGGTGGATAGGCCAGGTGCGAGAGAGCGCCAAGGAGAGCACCGTGCGGACAGTAGCGGGCTTCACCACAGGACTGAACGTCTCATCGAAGTCAACACCAGGCCGCTGGGTAAAGCCGCGAAGAACCCAGCGGGCCTTGTACCGCTCAAGGGAGCCATCGGACTGAAACTTGTGCTTGAAAATCCACTTGCCAGTGACGACGTTGGCCCGAGGAGGTCGAGGCACGAGGTCCCAAGTGTGATTCTGCAAGAGAGCACGGTGTTCGTCTTCCATAGCCGCTCGCTAATTGGGGTCAGCGAGAGCGCTACGAAAGGTCTTTGGCATTGCAGAGAGGGGGGCGGTGTGGTAGGCGACAGGCATCCGATAGCCGCTCTTCGACCGCGTGGCCATAGCGTGCTGGTTCGTCACCGGAGTGACAGCAACGGCGCCCTTAGGTAGCAGGGCGGCCGGTGCAGGAGCAGCCGGAGCAGGCGGTGTCGGTGCGGCTGGTGCAGGAGAAGTCAGCAGTTGGGGTCGACGCGTGTAGTGGTTCGTGAAGGCCCGATCCGATCGGAGAGGTGGGAACCCGGGTGGGGGTCCTGGAGGTCGGAGAAGCCCTGGAGCAGCGCGTCCAGCTGCGATGTCGTGGTCACGTGGGCAATGGTCGTGGTCGGCCTCGCCGGACCACGTGTCGTGGTCTGGTCTGCCAGCACCACTCGAAACCACTCGAGCACTTCATGACCTGGTGGATCATCGGCAACATCGGCGACGGGCGCCCGAGCCGCGATCATGATGGGACCGGCAGCGGCGCTGGAGAGCAAGCGGCGGTCTTTGGTGGTGTGTTCTATGCAGATGAAACTAGTGCATCGATCCAATAGGAGGGAGCACATGGTCAGAGGTATCGTCATCAAGGAACTGTAGGTCTGCTGAAGCACTAGGACCATGGCGCTCAACAAAGGGAAAGGTCGTTTCATCGAAGATGACGTGCCGGGAGACGATGACTCTATTGGAGGAGAGGTCAAGGCAGCGGTACCCTTTGTGATGAGCGGAATAGCCTAGGAAGACACACAAGACAGACCTAGGAGCAAGTTTGTGGGGTGCAGTAGCCGACGTGTTTGGGTAACATTTGCAACCGAAGACTCGTAGATGATCATATGCTGGTGGCTTGCCGAACAGGGCAAGGTGCGGCGTGGAAAACTAGAGAGTCTTGGTGGGCAGTATGTTAAGCAGAACAGTGGCAGTAGAGAGGGCCTCTACCCAGTAGGACGGAGGCATGGACGCCTGAAAGAGCAGTGAGCGAACAACATTATTGATGAAGCGAATAATGCGTTCAGCTTTACCGTTTTGAGACGATGTGTAGGGATAGGACATGCGAAGGTGGATGCCCTGAGCGAGGAAAAACTAACGGGAGCTAGAGTTGTCAAACTCTTTCCCGTTGTCGCACTGAACAGCCTTGACCCGGGCGCCAAACTGGGTGGAGACGTGAGCGATGAAGTGAGCAAGCGTGCTGAAAGTGTCAGATTTAAGTCGCAAAGGAAACGTCCACAAATAATGAGTGCAATCATCAAGGATGACCAAGTAGTATTTATAACCAGAAATGCTGAGAACTGGAGAGGTCCATAAATAACAATGTATAAGATCAAACTTGATAGACGCACGAGAGGTGGACTCATGAAAGGGCAATCGAACATGACGCCCTAACTGACAAGCATGACATAACTCGGAGCAATCCTGAATATGACAGGAGACACTAGACGCGAGCTTCGACAACGCCTCATGACCGGGGGCTAAAAGGCGCCCGATGCCACAATGAGGGGAGGAAGCTCAGGCGACAAGGGAGTGTGCTGGTGGGAGGCGCAGAGGGTATAGCGGCCCAGAGCTATTGCACCTGACGATCTCGGTCCGAGATGGAAGAACCTTCACAGAACAACCAGCGGGGTCAAACTCAACAGAACAATTATTGTCGGTAGTAAATTGGCGAACAGAGATGAGATTCTTAATAATTTGTGGCGACACAAGGACATTATTAAGATGTAAATTACGGGACAAGTCTGTAGAGCCAGTGGCAGTGACAGGAAGAAGAGAGCCATTACCGACAACAATGGATGAGGGAGAGGGGTACCACGGGAGAAGAACATGTGAAAGAGAAGAGGACTGAGATGTCATATGTGAAGTAGCACCTAAGTCGAAGTACCAGTCGTTGGACGTAGGAGGGGTCAGCGACGTGGTACTGAAGGCGGAGGCGAGGGCCGTTGGGTCCCAAGAGGGGAGGCCAGCCACCGGGTTGTAATACCCGGGGGCGACCCACTGTCCAGTGCCATCAGGAGCAGGGAGGGCAGCGGCCTGCTGGTGGGCAGCGAGGGCGTGCTGCTGCTGTTGGGCGAGGAAGGCCTGCTGCTGCGCTTGTTGTTGGGCCTGCTGCTGTGCCTGCTGCTGCGCCTGCAAGTGAGGAGGCACCGGGATGGGTGTCAGTAGTGGACGAGGTCCCCCTGGCCACATCTGAATGGTCCCGGTCCAGGGGTTGTAGACGCTGGGCCATGGCCGCCCGCCGGCCCACTGCTGCTGCTGGTGGTGTGCGCCACCAGTGGGGCGTGGCCCCTGTCCAGGAGGGCCACCGCCGTTGTTGCCTTTGCCGCCCCCGCCGCGCTTGCTGCGACGGTTGTTGGGCGGCTTGGAGTTCCCACCAGCGCCCGTGCCGGAGGACGCAGGGGCAGGGCTGGGAGTGGTGGAGGCGGTGAGCGCAGTGGCAGGTGCGTCCTTGCGGGTCTCCATGGTGAGTTCCTCGAGGATGAGGTCGTCACGAGCCTCCAGGAAGGTGGGGAACGGTCGAGCGCGACGAAGGAGCGTCCCGACGTGGCTGAAGCGCTCGTTGAGGCCACGAATCACGTTGAGGACAAGCGTGCGATCGGTGACAACCTCGCCAAGGGCCGTGAGATCATCGGCCATCTTTTTCAGCTTGCGGCAGTAGTCGGTGACGGAGAGGTCGCCCTGGACGAAGTTGCGAAGCCGCGTCTCGAGGTGGATGGAGCGGGCCTCGCGGTTGCCAAGGAACTGCGACTCGACGGCGAGCCAGGCATGCCGAGCGGTGGAGCCCTGGGCAGAGATGATCTCGCCAAGGTCGTCGGTGAGCGTGGCGACGATCCAGGACTTGACGACGCAGTCCATCTGGGCCCAATCAGGAGAAATTGGGGCTGGAGGGTCCTCTCGAACGTGGTCCTGGAGAGAGAACTTGCCGAGGATGAGAAGAAACTGATCACGCCAACGGTTGAAGTTACCGGAATCAACGTCGAGGATGGTAGTGACGTGGTTCCGGATGTTGCTGACCGCAACCGCCTGAGCATGGAGCTGCAGGAGGGCAACGGCCTCGTGATTCAGCATGGCAGCCCGAAGATCGGGTGGCGGCGCTGAAGGGCCACCAGGTGCGGCGCCAGAGGATTCCGGAGCAATGGCGGCAGCAGCGGCCGCCCGCTCCTGGGCAGCGCGCGCCAGGGCCTCGGTAGCGTGCTGGGCGGCAGCGTCGCGATCCTTAGTCGCTGCTGCAGCCTCCTCCTCGGCCTGAAGGGCGCGTGCTAGGGCAGTATCACACGCATCCTGACGCTCTCGCTTGAGACGCTGAGCAGCGGCGGCCGCGTCGTTGGCCTTCTCTCGCGGCAAGGCGTTGAGCGACAGCGTCTGCCTGGATGGTGGCAGAGGAGGCTTCCAGAGCAGCCCGACCACAGGGGTTCTTTGGAGGTGGAGGCATGGCATGGGTGGCGCGACGGTGTGGTGTGGCCGGAGGGGGCAAACAGTGTGGCGAGGGGCAGCAAGGAGAGGGCGCGGAAGAGGAGACCTAAACCTAGGCGGCTGATACCATGAGAGCGAATAGGTCTCGGGGATTGATTGATTGATTAACAGTAGTACATGGTACAATATATATAGGCAAGGATCAGTAGGGTTTATAGAAACACCCAATCAACGGTGATCCTTGCCTTATCAATGTAATCTATCTTAACCCCTAAGGCAGTCAGCCTAACAGAATAGGCGCCAGGCCCAAGGCCAGCCCATTAGGGCGCCTATTCTAACATTATCAAGCAAGAAATCTGTGGTTACTTTGGTAACAGAGTATGGTGTTGGATCTCATAACAAATGTGATGAACCATCCAAAGACTTCAAAAGAAGAGACTTTACTCCACTGCTTCCTAATCTAATGAAATGACAGGGAATCTAAACCAAACAAATATGTTGGACCCCGCAAATTAGTTCAAAAAACCATATATTAACCCTATAATAAGCATACCAAGACTCCTTAGGCTTTACGTGTTTTGATGATTTCTTTTCTATGTGGAAAATGTATAATAGTTAAAATGCATGCTGCTTCAGGGGACTAGAATCATATAACTGGGATGAATGCTCCAACCACATTGGTTTTGGACACGAATTGCAAAAGGCAATAACATCTGTGAATAATCATTTTGGTTTTATGGAGTCACTTGTATAACCAAAATAACCACATAAGTAAAAAACCAAACATGAAAACAAATTGTACAAAAGATGATTGGCCAAACAAGTTGGAACCTAGCCAGTAACAGTTCATGACAATCCATTTTTTCTATTTATATAGTTGGATTTAGCAAATTGTGTATTATAAAGCGGTAGGTCACCAAATCCATTCCTTTGGCTACACCTCTGCTGCCTAACTTGCTATTTTACAACTTGTTTCAAAATTCATTCAAGCCAAAGAACATATCGGTTTGCCTACATTCAGATACATAGTAGGGTACAGGCATTAGCATGAATCAGCACTGGGAGGTTGTACTTCTAGAATACAGCCAAGCGCCCATAATATGTAAAAGGACATCACAACCAGGAAAGAGCATAAACTTCTCTGCAAGCAAAAGCCACTTATACCTGCAAGTATTCAAAATCATTGTCTTTAAAGGAAGCATCCATGACTGGTCCAACAGCCCTACCCTCTTCAGTCTTCTGTTCCTGGGACCAAGTAAACAATTTCAAAGTGAAGGACTCTCAACATCAAAGAATAAAGAACACTTCAGCCTTCTTTCCAGACATGCATACCTCAAAATCTAGATGGGATGGCATCATTTCATGCATATTTGTAAAAGGATTATCAACTTGGAACCCTTCAACGTTCTTCGTTGTCGTTGGATTGTCAATCTGTGATAAGACAAAACCAGGAAGTGAAATGCTAGGATCAACATTGGTGGGGGAAGCTACTGGAGGCACTTCCACAGGGGCATCACTCTGAGGAGCCAAATTCTTCACATTAGTTGTATCATGCTCTAAGGGATAAACTCCCTCCTCGATCTTTGCCAGATCTTGGGCCTCATCCTTTTTTGGAAACTCATTTTGTGCAAGATTTCTGAAAAATGACCACCGCTGGGGTTCATAATTAGGCATATTCAGGCTATGGATAGGATCAATAAAAGGACTGGATGACTGTGCTGAAGAATTAGCATTTGCAAAGAAATCAGAAAGAATGTCAGGGGAGGTCCTCTCTGTACTACCAGCAATGTCTCTATTCTGTGTGCTTGGGATAATAGTTTCCTTGTGAGAAACATCCACAGAGCTGGTGGAACACGGTACAACAGGATCGTATTCACAATCAGTTGGCAGTGTTGGCTTAGGAGCATCCCAACTAATATGATGTGGCACAGCAGCATGAGAACCCAGCTGATTAGTTGTTTCTACATCTTGAGAAGATTCCTCATCAAGTTTGCCTTTAGCTGCAACCTGTTCAGCTGCATGGCTAACTTTCTCCACATTTCTATTGCTCGTGTCATCTGAGGACCTCTTTTCACCAAGCAAATGTTCACTAAATGGAGAAGCTTGATGTACAGTGTTGGTAAACCCTTTCTCAAACTGTATGAGACTATCATCGACAGCTGGATCATTCAGATTTATAGCCTGGGCAGCTAAATTTGGTTTTTCAGTCCCCTCTGCAGAGTCAATATTTTCTGCAATGTGTTCACTTGCAACGCCAGACTGCGATTGACGAATCAAAAGTTCAGGATTAAGTGAATCTTCAGATTTAGATAGCCGGTTCAGAAAGCCTGCTTGCTCCCTAGGAATCCACTCAGAATGAAAAACTCGCCCAGGGTGAGGAGACGGATTCTTATAGCTGTGATCTATCATGTCAGCCTGAAAGTCAGAACAGTCAGATGCAAAAGCTCCACCAGAGTGGCGATCGTCTTCGCTGATATCTGAACCCTGTGTTGTCGACCTAGATCTTGGCATGGAACAAGTCTCTAGGCTCTTGACACTGTCACTTGGTTGAAGAGAAGATGTCACACCTTCTTGAATACCAGCAGCAGGGGGGGCTCCTGAATGCATATAGTAGTTTGAAGCAGATGAATCATGATGCTTCGTATGGCCACTGAGATTTTCAAGCGACTGAAAGTAATCTAGTTCATTATTTTGATTAGGCATGTTACCAGAAAACCTCTTTTCCTCCTTCACTGATGCTTCTGTCTGAGCATCCTGATAAAACTGTTGATCAAAAGATCGCTGTGAAGCAGTTCCTGAGAAAGGTGCATACTGGGACGTATATCTATAATCAGAAGGTGTAGATAGAGGAATAGATACCTGGCCCTCAATGTCATGAAATCTTTCAATGGTAGCTGGGTTAGAGTAATCAGAACCCTGCAAATTCTGCATCCTCTGGCCCTCACTATCATGAAATCTTTCACTGGTAGCTGGGTTAGAGTAATCAGAACCCTGCAAATTCTGCACCCCATGGCTATAGTAAGAGCGCAAATTTGCAGTATTATCACTGTATAGAGATGATGGCACTGGTCTTGAGAGCATCTCTGGAGGCATGAAAGTAGACGCATTCACTGCATGCAAATTTGAACCATCTCTGCTTAAGTTTGTCAGCCTACTATCAAAATTGAGATTAATGAACTGATCGGGTTCATTCATGGATGTATTTACTAAACCCTGGCCACTAGATGAATTCACAGCTATTCCATCCATCCCGTTGATGGCAGCAACATATTGGATCCCAGAATCACTATCCATACTACCCAGGCTGAAACTCATGTCATCAAATTCAATAGAAGAAACAAGAAATATCCTAAGCTTCTGGGACCCATCTCCATCAAGCAAACCACATTCTTCCATCATATTTCTCAAATCTTCGTCATTTGAAACTGAGATCAAGGCATCAAGATCCTCACCGGGTAACTGATACTTGATAGCATGAGGTTGATTATATATGGCAGTTGTCTTCTGTTTAAGCTCCTGCCAGGAAACATTCCTACTAATCCGAATTATATGGGTCTCACCACCAACATACCTAAGCTTTCCATCACTCGGTCGGGGTAATATTTTCCCCCCAAAGCTACAGAGAATTTTAATCATTCTGGAAGTTTCGGAAGCCTCAGAAGAAGCATAGCCACGGGACAGTCCCTGACTACTTCCACCACCAGATGGAACTCGTGGAACTGACGTACTTGACATGTGCCTTCTTCTGTTTTCATTTTCAGAAAAAGGTTTTCTTTCAACCTCATCTGGTAGATGGTTATCTGAGGTCAGAAATATCGATGCATCAAATCTAGTTTCACCTCCTGTGCGATGAGCACCAAGGCTTACTCTAGAATCTTTGTGACCAGCACTGGAAGTGACATTCTGATTATGAGGCATACCAGGAACAGGATGTTTCTTGGGTATAGCTCTCATGAATTCAAGAGAGAACTCCTCCCCGGTTTGAATTGAATAATTAAGGACAGGCTTAACGGTGCCTGCAACAGGGTACTCTGGAATGGGATAACTGGCACATGCTGAGCTTGAGGACCCACGAATGGAACTTTGAGCAGCAGAGCGAACGTCATCTTTTCTAGGTTCCATCAAGCTGTCTTATCTAAAGTATAAAAATGAAGCAGGATATACAATTCATCATCATGCTATCCATTCAGCTGATAGTAGTCCATTTTCCTCTACAATTTTTATGTGACAAGCGAAGCAGTTGGAGAGCACAGAACACCGAGTAAAAGGTAGTTCAACCTACAGCAAAGGACACAAGGATAATGCTTAGCAAGGAGCATGAGAAAAAAAAAGAGGTCAATTAGGTCGTAATTTAGGAAACATGCATTTTGTTGTGTGCGACAGCAGATTGAGTGATGCTACAAACCTTCGCAGATAGTGAACTGCAGTAAAATTAATGATGATAAGAGGAAGAACTAGCAAGAAACTACACCAACAGAACAAACTTACAAGCTATAAAGCTCCCCAAGTCAATGACTAAAGCATGAACAAACGTCTTCAGGTGAAAATATTCCCGATCGCTAGGAGCTTTCTACTCGGGTTGCTTGAGGGTCTATGACAAAACTATTTTAAGTTGAACAGTGCTACAGAGAAATTACCATACTTGTCATGAGGTACTTGTGTTACTAAGCGGTGTTATCAAGTCGTCTAATTAATCGCGACTAGTCGGCTCCCCAGACTCAACTAGGTGCTACGACTTGACCTGGACGACTATAATTGTGGTTGTCCTATTAGTCATCAACTAATCACGGTTAGTTGGATGACTAAGGTGTGGTTGAATTGAAACAAGTTACAAGTTTACAACTGCTGGGCAGCTGGGGGTTGTGGGCTGCATCCGGGGACTACCTGGGCATTTCTTTTTCCACCCAGTTTAGAGACTGCAAACCTACTCTACAGTTGAAAGCCTCTTAACTCCCCACTCTCCATCCACCAGCATCTCACTCCCCACTCTCCACCAACCAGCCACGCCGCTACCGACAGGATCCTCGTCGTGCAGGCAGGGGAGAAGCAGCGCCGCTCCGCACCCTTACCTTCCCTTCCTGCCATCGCCTCCTCCCCACCACCATCCCTACTGTGCCACCAGAACGACAGGAGCAGGGAGCTCGTGCAGGCAGGACACTGAAGCTCTCGCCGCCAGCCCCGCGGGCCACCTCTTCTCTTCCCACCACGCCAGCTGGCGCCACCTCGTCTGACGAAGATGAGGTCATCCTCCAACGATTAGTGTACATCCTCAATTCCTCTTTCATCTTCTTGAGTGCCTGTTCCCGAATCATGGAGTTGATACTCTATTTCTAGTACTCTAGTCCAGTAGCAACTCGTCTTTGCTCAGGGGGAAACAAACTTGTCTTTGCACCATCTTCAGTACTTCACTAGTCACTGCTACCTCTTGGCCGACCCAGCAAAGGTCCCCGATTTTTTTTTTTCCAGAAAGCTTTAGGAGGCATCAATCAAACAGCCGAATAGCTTTAGGTTAGGGTTTGGGTGCTCGGCTTCCCAATCCCACAGCAGCAAGGGGAGAGGAGGGATGGGAATACCTGGCGGGTGCTCGTTACCAGCGAAGAAACCGACGAACGCCTCAGCACCTGGCGTAGGGCGGCGCCGGCGCCGGCGGCCCACCAGCCGTCGGAGAGCGAGAGAGGCACGGAAACGCACGCTGGGTCAACCGTGAACGGAAGGGGAATGCGGGGGGCGGGGGAAAGCAGAGGAGGGGAGGGGGTTAGATTGGGAGTAGGAGACAAGAGGAGAGGGGAAGGGATGAAATCAACGACACACACACACACACATATATATATATATATATATATATATATATATATATATATATATATATATATATATATATATACACACAACAATCAATTGGGCACTCATAGGCCCTCTAGCTAACCGAAGTGATATGTTATTTCTGTATCGCAGCTAGGGTTTTGTTTAGATTATAAGTTTTTTTACTTTTTTTAATTATATTAAATTTTTGACACATGTATGGAGTATTAAATGTAGATAAAAAAATAACTAATTATATAGTTTGATTATAAATTACTAGACGGATCTTTTGAGCCTAGTTAGGTCATGATTGGACAATAATTGTCAAATACAAACGAAAGTGCTATAGTGCCAAATATTGATTCATAACCCCAATCTAAACAAGGCATAGCAGTTACTGTTCATTTTGTGCTTTTGTAGTCAACGATGCGCCTACGTCTTTCCTTCCATAAATTTCATGCCATGTAGACTATGATCGCTGCTTGTTTTTGGTTCTGCGTGTATCTCTTTGTTGGGCGACGCTTGAATGGGGATGAGGCCACATCCTTCCCCAGCTCTTAGCGCGCCTTACTTCGCCTCATTGATGTCGCTGAGCTGCGCTCACGCGGGCGAGTCCTCATGGCCACCTCGCGTGCCGCGACCGGGGAACAAGGCCGCCGCCCCTCCCCACGCATGGAGGCGCCCGAGGCCCGAGCACGCGTGGAGGCGACGACGGAGATGGGCGTCACAGGAGCGCGTGAGAAGAAGGGCTAGGGAGAAAGGGAAACGAAGAAAATAAGGAGAAAATAAAAATGATATATGATAGGCGGGGTTTATGTGTCGAGAGAGATTATTGGTGATCGATCCGCAAAAATATCTTCTCCAAAAAATCTAAAATGTGGTTTAGGGTTTAGGGTTCTCAGCAAGCAAACCTGCCCATGCGCAAGCGGGTCAATCGATAGTGACACACTCAGGGAACGTACGGTACTCGGAAGACGGGTGGTTTGGCCAACGCCGCCATCGATGCAATTTTGTACTATACTCCCTTTGTTCCAAAATAAATGTCTTTATCGATTCCCGATCGAGAAATCAAACGCTTTTAACTTTAACCAAATACATAAAAAATCAAACGATTTTAACTTGACCAAATATATATAAGAAAAAATTAAATAGATTGTTAAATTTATTTTTATAATAAACTTATTTGAAGATACAAATATTACTAATATTTTTTCTATAAACCTAGTTGAACTTAAGAAAGTTTAAAAAGATACTAATATCGTAACCACACTTATTTTAGGACGAAGTAATTATCTTTTTTAATCGAAACAAAACATCAATCGAATCTATACAAAGCTCATGCTTGTACAACGGTATATACCCCGCCTCCGCGCCAATCCGAATTCTGCATGCACAATAGCATCAGAGAATTTTTTTTAAGGCCCCGTTTGACAGGGCTTCACTTCACTAGTGAAGCTATTTTTTTTGTTTTAGCTCCACGAACAGTTCCACCGGTGGAGCTGAAGCGGTTTTGGTAAACCGTTTGACAAAATGGCTTCTCTATGAGAGCATGTTTTTAGGGGTCTGGAGGAGGAACCGGGGAAAGCCACTTTTTTTTTGCTCTATCCCACCCCAAATCATTGTGAGAGCATGTTTTTAGGGGCTTCACCAGTGAAGCTATTTCACTTTATCCGTTTGGCAGAAAACGACTCCAAACGACTCCTGAAGCTGGTGGAAAAGCTCTGTCAAACGGGGCCTAAATCAAAATCTCTGGTTGGAGTGTTGTGTGATCTGCGGATGTTAGTTTATCCCGTTTCAGAGACCCGAAGTCGTTCAGCCGTCCGTCCGTTTGAAACTGAATGCGATGCGCTCGCTGGCTTGGCCCTCCGATCGGTCGTCGTAAAGCCCCCAAGGTTTCTGTGCTCTGCAACGCCTACAACGGCCGGCCTCGCGTATCCGGGGTCCGGCCGGCTTCCAGATTGCACAAGAACGAACCCGCGGGCTAACGATCATCGTTTTTTTCTGCCACCACCGCCGGCTGGACATCCGCACAAATCGGTTACGTCAGACGCTCTATCTATTATTTTCGTACGTGTCCCGTTAATTATTTATATCTACAAAAATTATCTTCCTATGTGTCTCATTAATTATTTATTTTTAGTTCCGTATCCTGAACACTCATACGATCGCATGTTCCACTTTTCCTACCTCCGTGAGAGGACGGTGTCATCGACCTCTTTTGTTAGACGTTATCTATATTACATTTTATTTTGTTGCCCAACTAACGTCGCAACATTAATGTCTGAAGTAGATGAAACATTCAATTATAGGCCTTTGGAAATGAAACACACATGCACACATAGGACCATCTGCGCCTGCTCACGAAATACTTGCAACATGAAGAGCACTTTCTGTAACGTACATCTGAAGCAGATGAAACATTTAGAACATGCGCGGGCAACGTACATGTATAGTCACTTATGGATGAAAACGGTACGGATATTTATTCGACCGTCCGTTCGACCGAACAAATATGAACACTTATCTGGATAGTTATTCGGATATCCGTAATTTTTTCGGATACGGATACTAAAATGGATATCTTAGGCGGATATCAAATACGGATGTAATATCATCGATATCCGGCGGATATCGGATAATCCGGTTAAGTATCGGATATATCCGGATATTTAAAAACGGATATTATCCGGATATTATTCAAACGACCTTGGATGGAGAAATGATCAAAATAAAAATTGTAAATCTCAAAAAGTTATGAAACTTTGTTGTTTACAACTTTTTCGTTTGAAATCATTTAGTGCTTCAAAATTTAAACCGTCCAAATTTTCTCAAATAAAAAACTAGTTTATAGGCGTCAAAATTTAAAAATCACAAATTTGAACCATCCAAACTATCTCAAATAGAAAGTTGACCAAAACAACAATTGTAGATCTTGATGAGTTGAACAAACTTGGTATTCAAAACTTTTCAATTTGAAGTCATTTAGAGTTCATAATACTAGAGTCAAAGTGTTGTTTTTTCATTTGACCAAATTTGACTTGGTCAAACTTGCTCAAATGAGACACTAAATGACCTCAGATAAAAAAACTCTGAATATCAAGTTTGATCATCTCAGCAAGATCTACAATTGTTACATAGCTCATTTTCCCATTTGAGAAATTTTTATCAAACACTAGTCACAAATTCTTGAATCTCATATAGACTTTCTGAAATTATGTCACACACTTGTAAAATTTGAACTATATTTTGTTCAAACTTTCTTAAATGAAAAAATGGCCTATATAAGGATTGTAGATATTGATAAGATGAACAAATTTGGT